TGGTCACCCCTAACCGCGCCCCGCCCCCCCCCTGCTGGCCTGGTCACCTTCAATTGTGTGCGCACGTGCGCGCGCGCGCGCGCACACACACACACACACACACACACACACACCTGCTGACTTGATTGCCCCTCACGACTCCCCCGCTAGCCTGATCACCCCACACAGTCTGCTGTCAGTTGTTTGGTCGTCCTTCACTAACTCCCCTGCTGCCCGGGTCGCCCCATGCAGCCTGCTATTCAGTCGTTGGGTCATCCCTCACTAACCTCTCTGCCAGCCTGGTTGTAGGCAGCCATCTTGTGAGGGTGAGAGAGTTAATTTGCATATTACCTCTTTTTTACATAGGATGAGTAGTAATAATAAACATTTATTTAATTTTTAATAGCTAAATACTAGAGTTAAATGTTTGCATATATCATGTCATTTATCCCCTTGAGAATATTTATAAACTGGCCATTGTTACTGGTGACTTCTCTGTTTGCCTATATCAAATCTTTAATTTAGACCCATTTTCTGAACTTCAGACATTTTGTCTTCTGGTCATTTTGAGATGGATATCCTTAATTCTTCAATTTAAGATTTTCAAAGCTGTCTGACTGGTGTGGCTCAGTTGGTTGAGCATTGTCCCATGCACCAAAGGATCACCTGTTTGAATCCTGGTTAGGGCATATACCCGGGATTCAGGTTTGATCCCCAGTTAGGGTATGTGAGGGAGGCAACTGATTGATGTTTCTCACATTGATGTTCCTCCCTCTCTCTCTCTCTCTCTCTCTCTCTCTCTCTCTTTCTCTCTCTCTCTCTCTCTCTCTCTTTCTCTCCTCTCTCTCCTTTCTCTCTCTCTCAAATCAATAAGAATATTTTTTTAGAAAAAAATTTCAAAGCTGGATTTGTTACTGCAGATTCCTCCCCCGCCCCCAAGATCTGCCCTTAATGACACCTTCTACTCAAGTTAGAAACTTCAGTACCATAATAAATTACTATTTCTCTTTGATGTTTCTGTCACCAAATCCTGTGAATTTCAAATGTCTCATGGTTCTATTTTTCCTTCTCTCTTTTCATTGTCACTTGCCCTATTTATCCCCTCCTACTTCTTGCCTGGTTTCCTAACTCTGGTTTCTTCACCTACAGCCACTAGAAAAATTCATGACTGGCTCCTGATTGATTACCTTCACAGGCCTTGCCTCCTCATGGCCTTCTATAAACACCCTTCCTTTTAGTCACACCATAGCATTTGCAGTTCATCAAATGGGCCACATTTTCTTAGCCTCTGAGCCTTGGCTTTAAATGCCTCTCTTGGTGGGACAACTCTTATTTTCCATACCCACCCTGACCTAGCATACGTGTTTCATCAATCGCTGCCAAACAAATGTCTGTATTTTGCTTTTAGTTCCTCTAGTCTCTTACGCACACTTATGTCATAGTATTTAACACTTTTGATTATCTGCTTGTCTTTTCTGCTGACTAGACTGTGAGTTCTTTGTAGGCATGTATTGCTTTTCATCTCTATATACCCCATTTCCAGTGCAAGGCTTACCATATATTAAGTACTATGTATATGCCTTCTGAAGGAGCAAGTGAGTAAATGAATGAAAAAAAGTTATTAAACATTCTGGAAATCTAAGATACTAATAATAGTTTTATGATTAACAATAGGGTTCTTTAAAGACCAGTGCTGAGTCTATTGAATTTTGGTGGCTGTCTTGTCTTTAAGTGATCTACCACCTTTTCTATTTTTTGTCTTTGATAACTCATTGAAATGCAGCCTTGCAAAGGTATAGCTCAAGCATGTCAAACTTGGGGCCCACCGGCCACAAGATTGACATGGTTGGTTGCTATTGATTTCAGTTTCATCACTGTTACCACTATTGTAGTTTTAAGAGTTGGATTCTTTTGTGCATTTCAGGGCAGGTGACATTATGGAGTTAAGAATTCTGGAGATACCAGGTCCTGGAGAAAACCAACATTTTGGAGACCTTCATCAAACAGAATTAGGTCCTTCTGGTATTGGGTACCAAGTGGGTATCAATCAGAATGGCACAGGCAGGTTGGTCAAGAAGCCAACCTCTTCCAGCAGTGCCCCTCAAAACATCCCTAAGAGGACAGATGTGAAGAGCCAGGATGCTGCCGTTTCCCCACAGCAGCAGCAGTGTTCCAAGAGCTACGTGGACAGGCACATGGAGCCTTTGAGTCAGTCCAAAAGTTTCCGTCGCCGGCACAACTCTTGTAAGTTGGAGCAAGTTGATATTTCTTCTTAACCTGATATTTGAGGGCAGTAAGTTCTTTTCTACTGCTATTCTTTAAACAAATCCTTTATTACCCTAATACAAAAGGATGCTGGCAGGGCTTCACAAAAATATAGCACAGTTCTCTTATTCCAGAGCTATAAGATATTAAAGAAAAAGAAATAAGCTGTTAGATGACCTGCCAGTGTTGCTCAGTGGTTGAGTGTCGATCTAAGAAGCAGGTCAGGGTTTGATTCCCAGCAGGGGGCGTGCAGGGATTCTCTTCATTAATGTTTCTATCCCTTCCTTCTGAATCACTTTTTTAAAAAAAAGAAAAGAAAAGAAATATACTGTTAGAGACTCATCCCAAAGGTAAAAGACACCCTCTTTTTTTTATAGCTGCACTAGAGACTCGGTGCATGGATTCATGCGTTGGTGGGTTCCCTCAGCCTGGCCTGCGCCCTCTTGCAATCCAGTATCCCTTGGGTGATGTCAAACTGCATGTTTCGGCCAGGCCTGCAGAGATCAGGTAGAAACTGGCAGTCTGACATCCCTCGAGGGATGTAGTAGTGTGTGAAACAGCAGGCGGACAGGGAAGAGCCTGAGCCCGGGCTGGGCACCATGCCACTCCTGCTCATCCTGGCCCCATTGTGCTTGCTGCCGCCACCACCACTTGGTAGTGCTGCTGCAGAGGTGGGAGAGGCCCGTGCCACTGTAGCTACACTTGCTAGCCGTGAGTCCAGCACCTGGTGTCCGGCAGCCAGCTGAGCGGTGCTCCCACTGCAGGAGCGCACTGACCACCGGGGAGCTACTCCTGCATTGAGCATCTGCCCCCTGGTGTTCACTGTGTGTCAACTGGTCAACCAGTCATTCAGTTCCTTAGGCTTTTATATATAAAGGTAGTATTCCATAGTGTAAATGTCCCACAGCTTTTTTGTCCATTCATTTACTGATGGGTACTTGAGCTCTTTCCAAATCTTAGCTATCTATCTATATAAAAGCCTAAGTGACCAAACGACCGGTTGACTGGTTGCTGTGACGCGCACTGACCACCAGAAAGCAGACACTCACCACAGGAGCTGTCCCCCGGTGGTCATTGTGCTCCCACAGCGGGTGTGCCGCTCAGCTGACCGACACATCCTAGTGGCCTACCAGCTCAGCGGCAGCCACTCCCTCCCTCAGTAGACCTGCCGGCCTCCTAGAAGTTGGCCCCGGACACCGCAGCTGCTTTCCCTCCCTAGAAGCTCTGCAAGGAAGAAATGATATAAAAGCAGCCACCAGGTGGCTCCCAACAACTGGTGCGAAAGTCAGTGGTACGGATCCTAATCCTGGGCCAGCAAGGGCATCTCACTGCCCGCCCGGAGGGCTGATCGTGTCCCAGCCCCCGCTCTCATCCCACTCAGGACAGGTGCCAGACTGGGTGCAGTGGGCTGGCGTGAGCAGGAGTGGCAGGCAGTGTTGGACTGTCTTTTTGGCCCAATTCCCACAGGACACACTGAGTGACCCCACCCATGCACGAATTCATGTTCTAGTTCTAAACGTAGAGGTGCATATATTCTTTTTGATTGCTGTTTCGGGATTTTTAGGATATATTCCCAGAAGTGGGATCGCTGGGTCAAACGGACATTTCCATTTTTAATTTTTTCAGGAAACTACATACAGTTTTCCATAGTGGCTGCACCAGTGTGCATTCCCACCAGGAGTGCATTTGCGTTGCCTTCCCCCCACCCCTACCCCACATCCTTGCCAGTGAGGATGCTTGTTGATTTTTTTGATGATAGCTATCTGACTGATGTGAAGTGTTATCTCATTGTGGTTTTAATTTGCATTTCTCTTATGATTAGTGACTGAGTATTTTTTTCATATGTTTCCTGGCCATTTATATGTCGTTCCTCTTTGGGAAAATGTCTATTCAGGTCTTTTTTTTTTTTTTTTTTTTTTTTTTTTTACAGAGAGAAAGGGAGAGGGATAGAGAGTTAGAAACATCAATGAGAAACATTGATCACCTGCCTCCTGCACACCTCCTACTGGGGATGTACCCGCAACCAAGGTACATGCCCTTGACTGGAATCGAACCTGGGACCCTTCAGTCCTCAGGCTGACGCTTATCCACTGAGCCAAACCAGATAGTACCCTAGGTTATTTTTCCATTGAGTTTCAGAGAGAGGGAAGAGAGAGAAAAAGACAGAGAGAAATATTGATGTGAGAGAAACACATCAATTGCTTGCCTCCTGCACACGTCCCAACCAGAGCCTGGGCTGGTCAGTGAAGAGCCTGCAACCAAGGTACGTGCTCTTGACTGGAATTGAACCCCAGACCCTTCAGTTCACAGACTTATGTTCTGTCCACTGAGCCAAACCTGCTAGGGCTGTTCTGCCCATTTTGTAATTGGATTGTTGTCTTCCTTGTTGAGTTGTATGAGTGTTTTTTTATATTTTGAAAAAATTTTTAGCATTATTTAAGTAATTATGTCTTTTTACCTTAGTCCAGACAAAAATCTTTTTTTAAAATTATTTTTATTGATTTCAGAGAGGAAGGGAGAGGGAGAGGTAGAAACATCAATGATGAGAGAGAATCACTGATTGGCTGCCTCCTGCACATCCCATACCAGGGATCGAGCCTGTGCCCTAACCCGGGCATGTGCCCTGACTGGAAAGAAATCAAAGCATGACCTTCTGGTTCATAAGTCAGTGCTCAACCACGGAGCCACGCCAGCTGGATCACAATAAATCTTGATTTTCAAGATCATCTCCTTAGCCACACATTATAATGGAATACATCTCATGTTTGTCACACATATGCCCACTTTCTATTTTGCTAAGAAAGTGGTGTTTGATCATGTAACAATTTCTTTCCCACAGAGGAATGCCACAACTGCCACCAGGAGAACAGCTGCAGACCAGTAGCTGTGGAAAGCTTTTTATATTTTGGATATTAACTTTATCAGATGTATCATTGGCAAAAATGTTCTCCCATACAGTGGGTTCATTTTGATGGTGGTTTCTTTTGCTGTGCAGAAGCTTTTTATTTTGAAGTAATCCTATTTATTTTCTCCTTTATTTCCTTTACCCTAGGAGATGTATTGGCAAAAATTCTGCTATGTGAGATATCTGAGAGATTTTACTGCCTATGTTTTCTTTTAAGATTTTTATGGTTTCTTGGCTTACATTTAAGTCTTTTATCCATTTTGAGTTTTATTCTTGTGTATGGTATAAGTTGGTGGTCTAGTTTCATCTTTTTGCATGTGTCTGTCCAGTTTTCCCAGCACCATTTGTTGAAGAAGCTTTACTCCATTGTATGTTCTTGCCTCTTTTATCAAATGTTAATGGACCATTTGGTTTGGGTCAATTTCTGAGGTTTCTGTTCTGAACCATTGGTCTATATGCCTGTTCTTGTGCCAGTACCAGGCTGTTTTGGTTATAATGGGTTCATAGTATAGTTTGATAATCTGGTATTCTGATCCTTCCAACTTCATCCTTATGATTTCTTTTATGGTTCCATATAAATTTTTGGAGTATTCTAATTCTGTGAAGTATGCCATAGGTACTTTAATAGGGATTGGGTTGAATTTATAGATTACTTTGGTTAGTATAGACATTTTAATGATTTTAATTCTTCCAATTCATAATCATATTATACATTTCTGTTTTTTTGTATCTTACTGTATTTCTTTTTTTCAATGTATTATAGTTTTTCAAGTATAGGTCTTTTACCTCCTTGGTTAAGTTTATTCTTAGGTATTTTATTTTTTGTTGTTGCAATGGTAAATGGGATTGTTTGTTTAGTTTCTCCTTTGGAGAGTTCATTATTGGTATATAAAAATGCCATTGATTTCTGGCTGTTGGTTTTGTATCCTGATATCTTGCCGTATTCATTTATTAAGTACAGTAGTTTCCTGGTGGAGTCTTTAAGGTTTTCTATGTGTAATACCATGTCATCTGTGAACACTGAGAGTTTTACTTCCTCCTTTCTAATTTGGATGCCTTTTATCTCTTCTTTACCAAAATGTTTACTTTTTTTGGTGTGTTTCTTTTAAATAAGCCTTTATTGTTGAAAATATTACGTATGTTCCCTTTTTCCCCCCCTTGACTCCCTCCAGCTCGTCCCCATACTTTTTTGTTAAAAGTTTAAATACTGAAGCAATTTATAACCTCATATACTTGGAGATCATCTTTATTAATCATTTATGTATTTTTCTACATATTTTCTCCCTGTCATTTACATCTTACATTAACATGGTACATTTGTTGATACATTATTGTTAATTAAAGTCTATATTATTCAAACTGCTTTAGTTTTTGTTGTTGTTAGTGTTATTTTGTTAATCCTCACCTGAGGATATTTTTTCCATTGCTTTTTTTAAAGAGAGTGGAAGGGAGGGAGGAACACAGAGAAAGAGAGAGATATTGATGTGAGAGAGATACATTGGTTGCATCCCACACATGCCCCCAGTGGTGCTCTAACCATTGAGCACATTGGCCAAGTTACCTTAGTTTTTTTTGTTTTTGTTTTTGATTTAATATCTTTGTTACATGTTCCTATCCAGCATACCACATTATAATACATTTAGTGGCCATGTCTCCTCTTGGCTCTGATGGTTTCTCAGATTTTTGTTGTTTTTTATGAATTAGTTTTGATAAGTACTGGTCAGATATTTTGTAGAATATCCCTCAATTGGTATATGATATTTTTCTCACTATTAGACTGGTGTTTTGGGGAGGAAGACCACAGAGATAATGTCATTTTCATTAACATCACATCACGGGTATCTACTATCAAAATGGTTTATGACTTTTGATGTTGACCTTGATTGCCTGGCTGAGGTAGTATGTGTCAGATTTCTTCTATAAAGTGACTTCTTTCTCCCCCTTTACAAACTGTGCTCTCTGTAAGGAAGCCACTCTGTGCAGCCCACACCCAAAGAACAGGAGTTATGCAGAGTATCTATGTAAAATTTTTTGAATTCTTCTGCACCAGAGATTTCTTCCCTATTTATTCAGTCATCTCTTTATTTTTTTTATCAGTATGGACTTGATGCAATACTGCTTTATTTTAGTGCTCATCATTTTAGCTGTGGCCACTGGGAAACAAATAACAACAACAAACAAACTGATTTTTTACCAATAGTTCTTTACTTTCTGGCACTACAACAGGCTCCAGGTTTATCTTCTGTATTTCCTGTCCCACCCCTAGAATCAGCCATGTCTCTAAGGAGCCCTATTTTATTTTATTGGACAATGTACTACAATCCATGATCTGGGTCCTAGGCATGTGCACCGCTACTGGGTGTTGCCCTTTAAGCTGACAGAGCAGAAAAATATATATGCATACTTAACTAGTGTATATACACATACCTATAAGTATTTATATATTTAACTTCTCTGTTATATGAAGCTAAATATGAGTGTATAGATATCTGCAATTTTAATCTATTAGCATGTGGATCATTCTAGCCTCCTTTTCTAATGTGTAACTTCAACAGTGAGACACCTGTTTCCTATCTTCTGCCATCCATTGACTTAAATTATTCCAAAAAAAGAAAAAATATATATTCAATCCCAATATACATGTATAACTATCAGAATTATTAATCCATACCTCCATTGACTTGTCTCATATGTTTGTAACAGATTCTGTCACATTCTGCATTCCATCCTTAGATTCTCCAGTCTCTGTATTTTTGCCTTTTCCAGAATATCACATAATATTTTTTAATTTTTATTTTTCAATTACAGTTTACAATCAATATTACTTTAGTTTCAGGTGTACAGCACAGTGGTTAGATAATCATATACTTTACAAAGTGTTCAACACACATGGTTATTGTAATATTATCAACTATATTCCCTATGCTGTACTTTACATCCCTGTGACTATTTTGTAACTATTAATTTGTACTTCTTAATCCATTCATCTTTTTCATCCAATCTGCCCACAGCCCAGATTATAACATAATTAAAATCATACAGTATGTAGCTTTTTTAGACTGTCTTTTTTTGTTGTTTAATCTTTACCCAAGGATATTTTTCCATTGATTTTTAGAGAGAGTGGAAGGGAGGGGGAGAGACAGAGAGAAAGAAACATCGATGTGAAAGAGACACATTGATTAGTTGTGTCCCACACGAACTCTGACCAGGGCCTTGGATCAAGCCTGCATCCAAGGTACGTGTCCTTGACCAGAATCGAAGCCGAGACCCTTCAGTTTGTGGGCCGATGCTCTATCCACTGAGCCAAACTAGTGAGAGCCAGACTGTCTTCTTTCACTTAACACTATGTATTTAAGAGCCTTCCATTTCTTTTTGTGCTGTAATAGTTCATTTTCTTTTATTGCTCAACAACATTTTATTGTATAGATGTTCGTTTACCCATTTACCTATTAAAGGAAATCTTGGTAGCTTTCAGCTTTTGGTGATTATGAATACAGCTGCCGTAAACATTTGTGTGCAGGTTTTATGTGGATATAAGTTTTCGGTTACGTTACATAAATACCTAGAAGTGTGATTGCTGGATGTTGGTAAGATTCAGTTTTTTCTATTTTTATTTAATACTAACCATCATAGCAGCTCTCTTTGAAGACTGCAGTTTACTTGAAAATAAATAATTATTTGATCTTTAACAATTTACTTTGGTATGTTAAAAAGTGGTGCAGCTTCTGCTTTTGCTGTTGGGTTCATTCCCTTTTTCTAGATTAACTACATGTAAATGAAGAGATCCTGGACAGAAAAATGTTATTCTCGCCCTAGCCAGTTTAGCTCAGTGAATAGAGCATCGGCTTGCGAACTAATGGTTCCCAGGTTCAATTCTGGTCAAGGGCACATGCCTGGGTTGTGGGCGCGGTCCAACATGCAGGAGGCAGCCAATCAATGACTTCTTCTCATCATTGATGTTTCTATCTCTCTCTTCCTCTCCCTTCCTCTATGAAATAAATAAAAATATATTTAAAAAAACAGAACGAAAAATTTTATTCTTATTCAGAGGATTTTTTTTTTAAGACATATTTATTCAGCGTCATGATCAGACTATTACTAGCGATCAACAGCATGGATGCGGGGGAAAAAATCTACATTAAAACCCTTGGTTGGAATGCTTTACACTTTCCACAGAACAGAAACTAAAATAACCCGTTATACAATTAGTCACAAATACAGTCCTCGAGTTTTTTTTTGCCCATTCACATGAGTATTGTCTAACATGTCTTCTTTGTAGTGGCTAGGCCCTGACACCACTGTGCTTGGCTGAGTTCACAAATCTGTTGTAACCTGTAGCTTCCCTGTCACTTCTCTGGCTCTCCTCTCCTGTTAAGTTTTGTTTCCTGGCAGAATTAAAACCTGCCACTGCCGTAGCTACTGCTGCTGCTGGAACTGCCATAGCCACCTTGGTTTCGTGGTCTGGCAAAGTATTGACCTTCACCACCATAAAAGCTTGAGCTTCTGCCTCCAAAGTTTTCTCCTTTCACAGGCCCAAAATTTGAAGATTGATTATTGTAATTGCCAAAATCATTGTAGCTTCCACCACCTCCAAAATTGCTTCCATCATTTCCAAATCCATATAGCCATCCCCACTGCCACCGTATCAGCTGCCACCAAAGCCACCTCAACCACTGAAGTTTCCTCCACGACCAAAGTTGTCATTTCCACCAAAACCACCTCCACGACCACCTCCACAGTTTCCAGAACCACTTCGACCTCTTTGGCTGGACGAAGCACTAGCCATCTCTTGCTTAGATAGGGCTTTCTTTACTTCACAGTTGTGGCCATTCACAGTATAGTATTTCTGAATGACAATTTTGTCCACAGAGTCATGATCATCAAAGTTTACAAAAGCAAAGCCCCTCTTTTTGCCTCTGCCTTGGTCAGTCATGATTTCAATCACTTCTATTTTTCCATACTGTTCCAAATAATCTCTTAGGTGATGTTCTTCACCTATACCACCGA